TATTATTATTATTATTATTAGCAATGGTGATGTGCACTACAGTACCGCAATGACAATGATCTACAGAAATGTTGCCAAACAACCACCAGTAGTATTGTAGTGCCTCCACATTTATTTGCATCCGCTTACATTTAATTTGCTTAAGCCCTTTCGATTAATTTCTTTAACCAAGCCATTCACGTCGCAACAACTTATATGTACCATTGGTATTTTTTATTGTGTGGTTTGTATGGGGTTGTACGACTGAGCCTTGCTTACCGCCTACGCACATATGCATCCTATTCGCTTTAATGCTAATCTCTTAAATATCACGATGACTCAGACATTTTCCTTTGTATATATACGAACATTTTAATCTTATTAATTCATTCGCCCATTCGCACATTCGCTCGCTAGTGTGCCTGCCTGGTCTGTTTGTGGTCTGCTATCCTTACTTGCGGTGTGCCACTATAAACGTATACGATACTGCGAATTCATCTTCTGATTTATTAACCGTTAGACGTCATTTAGTAACGATTGTCTGAACGAGCTAATTACGAAACGTAAGAACAACTCGAAATCGGCACACTACAGTATCAATGAGATCGGTCACTCTACTAACCAATTTTGTGTATGGTGATATGCCCGTCAATCGAGATGCTTGAATGTCATTACGAATTCACCTTAACCGGTAAACTTGGGCGAAGACAAGCAATCCAGTGACACGATGGGCTATACTGATTCGACTGTCCATGGCCATGCTAACTATTATAGCAAGAAGTCTTGATAAGGAGTATAAAGTGTATTCAACAAGCATCCAGAAAATACGAGGTTCACAAGTACACAAATCGAGTTTATTTATACATAAGAGAAACGTTCTTAGGAGAGCCACAAAAAGTAACACAACAACCTATAACAACCAAGGATTCTTCGAGTGGGAAACATAATCTCAAAGTCAATCGAGCAGCCCATGGGCGAAAAAACAAAGCTCAAAGTTAGGACCTTTTCAAATGAGTTCTGAGGATGTAACGTCTTCACCAATGAACTATTAGCAATAATTTACAAAGCAATGTCAACGTTCACAGTGAACCTCTAGTCTCATAGGAAACCTTGAGCTCTATATACCAGTATGGCATAGGATATCAAGAGATGCAACCTTGCTGGATGCTAATATGCTCAAACACTTTTATTACCCTTTGTATCATGTCGGGTAACAAGAAAAGTCAGTTCAAATTATTTTAACTCTATCCTGTGAGTCAGAAGATCTTCTTCATACATAAGAGTTATGACGTTTCATAATGAAAGCCAAGTTCCCTCGGTAGTCACGAGGCTGATGCTTATTCTTACAGCCAGGGCAATCATTATTACAGGTATATGGAATGTTCGAACAATGTGGGAGACTGGAAGAGTGTTCCAAATTGTTGCAGAGATGAAAAGATACAACTTGGAGGTGTATGGAATCAGTGAAACGCATTGAACACAGGCTGGGGAACTAAGACTAGCTTCAGGAAACCTGATGTTAAGTTAGGTCATGAAGAAGAAAATGCCTCACATACACAAGGATTCGCACTGATGCTGTCCAAACAAGGCACTTATAGGATCGGGACCTCATGGATCCAGGATCATCAAAGCATCCTTCAAAGCCTAGGACAGAGTAAGTAGCTTGGAGAATAATGATCGGCGGCCTATGCTCAATTGGGGGTAACAGGCGTAAGTAATAAATTCAACAGTCACCTAACTATTGTTACTATTGTCTTCTCTTGTCTAACTAATCACAAAATCCAATCAAATAAAAGACGAAATACTTGTGTAATAAATATTTTTGTAACTTTATTTCATATACTACTGAAATAGACAATTTCTCAAGCAAAAGTAGTCAATTATTCATGATATTTGTAAACTACTAAGTTTGACCGATCCTTAACTACATTGGGGACATTAAACTATGCCAAAGTAGTGAGTGCTTGGATTTAGAACGATTCCAGTCGAAAATAAACACTTATAACATCAAAAGAATATATATATATATATGAAATATTATACAATAAAATTGCAAACACTTACTTCTCTTAAACATTCTGATAGTTCAGCTAAAATTTCTTTCTCATTAAACATTTTACCCTTATATCGATGCTCATAATAACCAGCAATACGTCTTCTTAACGCTCGTGGATATTTTTTATAAGCCATATATTCTTCAACTTGTTTTAACTAAATTCAAAATATATATATATATTCAAAGTCAGTAAGGTAAGTTTTATTTTGACTATTAAAATATAAACAAAACATTGAATACTGAATTGGGCAGTTATGTAGTGAACGAGAACACAGGTGAGGCAACCGAATTGCAGTTAACGAAAATTACAGAGTTGTTAATCAGTGAAATCGGAAAACCATATCGTAAATCGTTCATTTGCAAAATATCAGTCCATCATCATATCGAACTGGACTGTTCCTGTTGCAGAACATCAATCCATTGTCACTACTATTCATGCGTTTCATACAAATCCGATTGTGTTCTTCTAGCTCTTCCTTTCTTGATCTTCCCCCTATCTTCTGCTGCCAGACATTACGTTGACACTCGCGTCATATACTACTTATAAGTAGCTCGCACCACAGTTACAGTCTGAAATGTTACAGAAGTTTTCAAATGGGATTAATAATATAACATGATGCAAGACACAGACTTCGTTTTTTTGAATTATCCTTGAAAAGTTCAATGCTTCTCGGTTAATTGTCTGTTGTTGTTATTGTATGAAATATGAGTTCATGAATAACAAACTGTTCGGATTGTTATTTCCTTTCTACTTGTGTGCAAAAGTAGAGTTTAAAACAAGAAAAACTTTTAATATTAATTTCCATGAATCAATCAATGTGTTAGACCAGCACTGGAAACCTGAAAGCACTGAGAGATGGACGTTTCGTCTCGGTATGGGGTATATCAGTAGAGTGCGCGCATTCATGACACCTGCCACTGGACCTTCAGTCCTACACGCAAACGCCTAACCTCTGGACCACAG